ATACTGTAGAATTTCCATTCCCTTCCCACTCCAGGTGAAGGATACTGTAGAATTTCCATTCCCTTCCCACTCCAGGGGAAGGATACTGTAGAATTTCCATTCCCTTCCCACTCCAGGGGAAGGATACTGTAGAATTTCCATTCCCTTCCCACTCCAGGGGAAGGATACTGTAAGATCTCCATTTCCTCCACACACCAGGGGAGGATACTGCAAAATATCCATTTCTTTCTGATCAGGTGGGATTCAGAAGGCATAGAATAGATGAGGGCAGGGCCAGTCAGAGGTGGTATTTACCGCTTATCTGAACAATTCGAAATGTCTGCTACTGATTCTCCAGAACTGGCCAGAACCTGCTGAATTTCACCCTTGCTTTTTTCCGATTGCTTAATAGACAAGGAATCATTTCAACAGTACGCGTGAAGAGCTGGAAGACCTCAAGAAAAGAATGAAAGAAGCCCCACTGACTTGCAAATTACCTGGCAAACCAACCATTGAGGGATACCTCTATTCACAAGAAAAATGTAAGAGGCAGACTTAATTTTTGGAACGAGGTTATACAGAGTGGGATCCTGAAAGAGAAGAAACACTCCTTGTGGCTATGGCTAAAACAGCCCTTTGATTGAAGATCCTGGAAATAAGTGAGCTTTGCTCTTCAGCTTGCGTCCTTGTAGACAAATGAAGATCCACTGATCTTACCAGAATTCACCTTTTGATCAAGTCTTGACCTAAAATTAATTGAAATGACGATGAAAGATCAGGGGTGGGGAGGCTAAAACAATTGTAAATGAACCTGGGAGGTTGGGGCCTTCACTTGCCCAATTCAATCCTTCAAGCCATGATGATGACATCAAATGGCGCCTTGCAGGAATGTGAGATAATTAATGGCATCACAAGGTTTGAGCTATTCTTGGGTCTCTTAAGCCAAGCTGATCACTGTGGAATCCCCATAACAGACCCTTTAAAGCAGCTCCTCAGAGAGACCACTTTATAGCAAGACCATTAATAGATATGTGTGGGAGTTTCAGTTTTGTTCTGTGTATAAGTCTGAGGCTACACTCGTATTCATGTGAAGTATTCATATGAGTTGACTAGAAAAACTCAAGACAGATGAATCTAGAAATGCTGCTCTGTGAGCTATATATAACTGCGCTCATCTTTGCAGAAAGAGTTCCCAGGATCATAACTTGTTTCCCCGAAAATAAGACTGGGTCTTATTTCACACCATTTTTGGGCNCCCCATCCCCGTAGACCCTTCCCCCTCTCCCATGGCCCCCATTCTTCCCGGCAGGCCTCACATATCATTCATTCTAGGACGAGAGGCGAGTCTGGGCCCCCTTCCACTTCTGCTTATGCACTCAGTGGAGGGGGCACCAGGCTGCACTCTTGGTCCTCTCATATATACCACACAAACTCTCTCAAGCATACCACACTATAATCATTAAAACATAAAATACAATAATACAATAATATAATTTAAAAGTGGGTTCATTAATCTTCATTCACACAGCACACATTCCACCAGCAGAATTGGCGCAGGTCTTAATTCCGCCTGAGCAGATCAGCGCAAGTTCGATAGAAGATAGAAAAGTTCGATAGAAAAATAGAACCTCTAAGTATTCAGGGATTATTTTCTTCTGATTGTTCAGTGTTAATCATAACAATTTTAATAGATCACAGCTATTGCCATTGATTATACATAACAAAAGGAAGAAAGCTGCCACTCAGACATGTCTTTATTAATATAGATTCTATAGACGTGCTGTTAGATAATGTATTTTGGATCAACTGTACATCAGCATCTCTTTATGATTCAGAGTTTGACTCTCTCATTCCTTGGATTTTGGCATCTTAGCTTGAGGAATTATACTCAAGGCATACTATTGATGAAAATTCTCAGTCATTCAGGTATTATTTGGAAGTTGAGTCATGGCAACTGGACTTCTTTTCTTGTTTGCTTTGAAACATTTCACTGTTTACCCAAGTAGCTTCTTCAGACTAAATTGCCATTATTCAACTTCTAGTCAAGGCATATCGCTGTCTATATGTGTTTCATATAGTATCATAGGTGAATAGAAGTAGTCAACTTATGACCACAATTATAGCTGGAATCTCAGTCATTGAGTGAAGCAGTTATTAAGTGAAATGATCATGTGACCACTTTGTTCAATGACTGAAATCCCAGCACTCCTGTTTGCGGTCATTAAGCAATCTTCCAGGTTGTGGAGTGGATGGAGTGCCAGGTAAGAAGTAAGGGGTGCTTTAGGGGTAGAATGGGGACTGGGAAGATCCACAGAAGGGGAAGTTTTTCAGGATTTTAGACTCTAGAAAGTAAAATCTTCATTCCTACAGGTCAACAAAAGATTTCCCTTCCATTATATCCACTGAGGGAAAATCCTTTGCTGGCTACAGAAAAGGAGTTAAAATCCTGAAGATTTTATAGCTCTATTCCTGCAGCCCAGTGAAATTTTCTGTCCCTTCTAGCCTCTGGTGGGGTGTGGGGGTGTGGACTTTCAGGATTTTTTTTTCCTGTAGCCCAATGAAAGATTCCTCACACACAACACACAGAGGAGAGGGAAAATACCTTGTTGGCCTGCAAATTTCATCTTTCAGTCAGCCCCTAGAGACAAGAGGGAATCTTCTTAGCAAATAGCAATAGCAATAACTAGCAACCTTTCCTGCCAGTTTCCCCATTGACTTTCTGGAGAAGCTGGTAGAGAAAATTGCAAATGGTGATCACATGTTTAGCTTGCTTGATCACCGGGCATAAGTGTGCCAAGCATCTAAATTGCAAACACATGACCGTGGGGGTGGGGGTGGAGTGAGGTGCTTTTTAACAGCAGGAAGGGCTTTATGACTCAGTAAGTATCCTTTAATTTCATAGGATAAGAATAATTTTTATTGTTAAGATATGTATTTATACTTGCAACTTAGTAATCATAAAGTTAATAACCAATACTGTCATATGCATGTGTCTTGTTGGCTGTATTAGGGTTCAGCAGAAGATATACAGCACTTATTTCATAAGCTAGGTTTCCAGCCAATGAATGGGGAGTTAATAGGAAAAACGGGATATATAATTCCTCCAATATTAACCCAAAATTTTATTTAGAAAGTAAATAGCTGGTTCAGTAAACTTATCTAAGTACTTGGCCTTCCCAAATGATATCAGAACAGATTGATGTTTCAGTAAAATGTGTCTAAAATAATGCTTTTACTTGTCTCATGTCATCTTGTGTCAGAAATGTAAGAGCTATATTTTCACTGTTTTTTAAAATTCATAGTATATGCTTGATGCTCTTTTTCTGAAAAGCCAATTTAACAAATGGCAATGGCTATTTCTATAATACTCCAGGCTTTATAGATGTTTGTCACAGACAATTTACAAGAGAGATTTTGCAATAGAGATTGTTCATTATCAGTGAGTAAGAAATCAAAATGAAGAAAAACTAAAAGTTATTAATACAGTATGTCTAGGAAGGGAAGATTAAAAAATCAAGATGTAAAATGATTATATTTGTTTAATTCTTGTACTTATGCCTTTGATTATAATACTTCTACAAAAAAGGTAGTTTATTGGCTTTAAAACAAATTGCATATGCATCCCAAAAGGTGTGATGCAATATTAAAATCCATTTTATATGCTTGGTAAAGTTTTGTCCTGTGGGCACTTCTAGCCACATGTGTACTTGACAAGTTATGTCCAAGTTGATTTTCTAAGTTATATGAAGCTGACATTGCTGAAATCTCTTCAAGAACTAGGAAAAGCCTGGAGGATATATGATAAGATCAGCTTCAAGCTGTGCAATATTAATTTCTTTAGAATGGTTTATTAAAACTGTTTCCTGACGACAGAGAAAATATTGTGAGTTATGGATGCTTGCCTCCATGTTCAGAATAATTAGATGCTTCTCTTTCCAGTCTGAATTTGAACAGTCAAGGATAAGAGGGAGGAAAGGTTACACACACAAAATAGACATTTGAAAATAGTTCCAGGGTAAATTAAGCAGGAAAAGATCAGAAAATGAGTAGGGAACATAAAAGGAATTCATTAAAAAAGAGACAATCTACCTACCAATTCATCTGAATAATCCTCACTAAATAAAAGATCTATACAAGAGTTGATGCTGGCAGCCTTAAGGGAAAGTAGGTCTTCCCCTTCCTTAAAAGGCTGTATCTGGATCCATAGGGATTAGACAGCTACTGGGTCATTTTCAACTTACTCTTTGTGGGAAGGTGGTGGTGCAGGGCCAATAAATGAAAACCTTAAATGATGTAGTTTATTGGCACTCATATCAGTCAGAGTTCAGGTTTGAATGGAGAACATAGATGCCATTGGTTGCTTTGGTTGATGACATATCGAGATCCATACAAGGATAGCAAACCTGATCTGATCCACTCTTTAAGCAGCTGACACCCTAATTGCCACTACTTAGACTAGTGCAACACACTGGAAGAAACCCCACCTTGAACAGTGATGGGCAACCTTTTTTCTCTCAGGTGCCAAAAGCATGTGTGTGCTATTCTGTGTGCTCACTTGCCCACCCCCATAATTTAATGCACTCCTGTGCCATGACCCCCCCCCCTGCTCCCCCATGCATGCGTGCACGGCTTTCTTGGAGCCTGGGGAGGGCGAAAATGACCTCCCTCTCCCCCAGAATCCCTCCAGAGGCCAGAAACGGCCCATTTTCTGACATCTGATGGGCCTGGTAGGTCCAGTTTTTGCCCTCTGCAGTCTCCAGAGGTTTTCTAGGCTTTCCCTGAAGCCTCTGGAGGGAGAAAAATAGCCCAATGCGCAAACCGGAAGTCTGCTGGCCAGCTGATTTTCAGTCATTTTTCACGGGCGAAAAAAGGCTGAAAATCAAGGCTGAAGATCAGTATATCCATTAAAACTCTGAAATGGTTTCCAAATATATACTAGCCTCACCAACCTTTGGTCCTTTCCATGCAACAACAAGTCTGACACAGCCCTTGAGACAATTTAAATTGTGTAAATCTCTATTATGTAGGAAGCATTCAGAGATGGTAGACACACAGACAGATGAGAGTGAGAGGAGTTTTCATAATACAAATAGGAATTTCCAATATGATCCAAGTGATGGTTCAGAGAAGCTATTTGTAGTTAGGGTTAATTCTTTTCCCCTTTGTTCTCCACTTATTAGAGACTTAAGGCTGCTCAGATTTTCCTATGGTTCTGCCCCTATAACAAAATTTGTGTACCTTTGTGTAATTAAGTCTGATTTTTCATATTGTTAGTCATGCAGCAAATATATGAATCATTTTGTTAACAGAATATATACTTTTTCAGGTAGTCACTTTCAGGTTTAATGCAAAAATGACATGGATAAGAGAAAAAAGTGGCTTGTGTTACAAGGTTAGTACCAACTATCCAGATGTAGAGAGTAGATAATATTTGGAGCTAGAATTTGTCCTCTAATGCTGTCATTTTTCTTTCTTAAGTACCCATGATAAAGATTTGCCCTATCATTGAGCAGTTTACCTTGTTTGTAATTTCACACAGCTTTCCATCTGGCAGATTGATTAACCTAGACAAAGCTGTGGGTAATTGGATTGGTTTTTTTTAAAGGCTGGAGGTATCCCTTATGTTAAACATGTCTTTGAAGTGTATCAATAAAGTTATACCATACATAATAAAAGCCAATCTCTATGGAATAATGTCAAATTTGTATCTGTATTAATTAAGCATTTAGGTAGATTAAAATTGCTTTCTGAATTGCTAGACTATTTTTTACTCCTGTTCCTGGAAACTGATTTATCAGGAAAGCAAATTATCTTCTTAAAAATCAAGACTGTAAATTCTTGGACTAATGAGAGGCATTTTTCTTAGAGAAACTGCATCCTTTGAATCCAATTGTTTTTGTTAGCTGACTACTTAACTGAGGATGAATTTAAACTAGAGAATTTTAGACAAAACTGCATCCCAGTTGAAAATATGTCTTTGTATGTGTGTGTGTATATATATATATTTGTATTAATCATCTGTGCAGGTATTGGATAAAATTATATTGGATTGATTTGATACAAATAACCCTTTGCATGTGGAATAGATACATGTTGATTACTGAAGAATATTTAAAATAGAAACAATAATTACAATAATGTAATCACTAGACTATTTTTTAAAAAATAGTTTTTATTTTGTATCTATTGATATAAGACTCTAGGTATG